AAAACATGGCTTGGATCAGGCTCACCTTAGTCTTTAAACTGACATCATTGCTCTTTGGTACTTTGGAGAGGTCCTTGACAGCAGATTTCTCAATGCAACACATTTTTTTGATTCATTGACTGCTGTTACTCTGAGTTTTGTTACAGAAACCATTTAACAAGTAAGTGCAATAGAACTTGTGTGTGTCTTGTCAGTGAAACCCTGTGTATATTGTACTCACTGATTAATCCACCCCATTTGCCCTGCTCTAGACCATTTTCAGGACCCATCAGCCTGAGTCAAAAATTCAGGTTTATTTCCAAAAGAACCCCCTGATAGCAGCTCTGGGTCTGAGACTGGAGATTTTTGGTTCAGTTGCCCAAGTGGGATCCATCAGGCCAGTTACTGAGTGGTGAGATTGGTTTTCATTGTTTCCACTCCTGCAGCTGAGCAAGAATTCATTCACCTCCCAGGGGCGTATGTGGAGGTCAAGCTGACCAAGACTGGAGTCAACTCTCTCAGGAGCATCTGAGACCTGCCCACATCCTGGTAGGCCTTGTCAATGTGGTTGACCCTATTCTTGACCACAAATCCTGTGACAGAAGCCAGGACACACCTTTAACCCATCAGCACACCCCAATATCCCTTTAACCTGTCAGCACACCTCAACACACCTTTAACCAGTCAGCACAAAGCTGATCCCACAAAGTGCAGGGCAGTTCCTGGAAGGCTTAGGTGGGCATTTCTTTTCCCCTCTCTTTTTCCTTTCCACAAAATGCGTCACTAGTGGAATAGAGAATAATGGAGGAAGATTAAGAAAGCCTTAATACTGAGAGGTAAACTGAATTCAAAGGAAACCAAACAATATAAATGACCCTTGATAACGTTATGCTGAGTGAAATAAGTCAAGCATGAAAGAACAAACAGAGGTGTAAGAGTTACACAGCATGATGATCTGACCAATGAATTGTTCATGTAAAAACTGATGAATTGGCAAATATTTTGTTCTATGTCTTTTACCGCAATAAAAAGAAATGAAAAAGAAGCCACAGGAGAAGGCTCTAGCCAAAAGAAGTCAGAGCTGTGGGAAGAAAACACTAGGAGCTATGTCCTCCTCAGGGTTACCTGGCCATAGGGTGAGGGGCCAGCAGAGCTCTGAATCAGCCATCCTTCAGTTCTGGGGACTCAGGAGTATGGGGAGTGGGGATGGGTAGGTGCTGCCTCGGCTGGGAGTTCACAGGAGAGCTTGCTATTTGATAGCAACAAGCCAGCCTGTCAACAGGTGGGAGCTGTGCATGGTTACCAGGAAGAGGGCTTAGAATTTCCATGGGGCATCCATCACGCACAGAGTTCTGTGGAATGCTAGGACTCAGGTCAGTGAGAAACAGGGTAGGATAAAAGAGACGCACTGAAGGACATGCCTTGACAAACTCCTCTGAACTTGTAGGAACATTCAAGAATATCCCTGATCACATGAAATGTGTCCAAGAACAAATAAAAAGAGGCAATGTGGAGACACAGTGACCCTTCAAGCAGGTATATGGTCCTTTGTGACAAGGACACCTATTAGTCATTAACTAAACTAAGATTCTCACCTATTGGCAGCATCATGATAGATGGTGAAGATATTGAGATTGTTAACAGCTTTAGTTAAGCTGGTTGGCTCCACAATCAACATTCTTGGTAGCAGCAGCCAGGATATTAAAAGATTAATTGGATTGGGAAAGTCTGCTGTCAGAGACCTCTCCAAAGTACTGAAGAGCAATGATGTCA